ATAATTTCATATTTATGACTTATAAATATGGGATACAATTCTATTAAGTCAGAATTATGAAATTCTAAACCATAACTATGACATCTACGTCATTATTTAATATTATTTCATCATTATGAGAAGTTAAATCTTATTTATGAGGAACTAAGTCATAATGTTCAGATGCTGAGTCAAACTTCTTAAAAACTGATTTCTTTTTTCAAAATGGCGGAAACAGCCGTCCAACATCACGTGACAGGTGATCTGAGTCATGTGAGCCGCCTCGGCCGGAAGTGGGGTCAGAATCCAACATGGCGGCGGAGAAGAAGCTTTGTTTGTGAAGAGTTCAGCTGTAAACATTCAGGTTTCACCTGAAATTCCTCCTGATCAGAGTCTGTGTATCAGTTTATCTTTAAAGCGACAACATGAGCTTTAAATAAGTTTTAAAAGTGTCTGAAGGTTTCGAACCGGCAGCCAGAGGAGGAAGAGAGCCGAGTCCTGATTCATCCTCAAACCGGTAAACAACAACAGCCACTGCTACAACTGTGCTTTTTAAGTTAATAATCTTTTCCGAATTCACTGAAAGAAACATTTTTAAAGTTTAACTCGTGATTCGGCCGTTAAAACGCAGCATGCTTGTTAAAGTTGATAAAATCGTTAGATTTTTGAACGGAGTCTGGTGCGCTGCGGAGCGCCGGGTTGGTTTTAATGGTTTCCTCGCGCTGAGCCACGGTGCGAGGCTCAGCTGCCGCCCCGCGTGCAGCTCAGGATCCGATCACCTGTCGATATGTTTGATCGGTGATGGTTTAAGAACGGAACGAAGGTCAGAAATCAGCTGAGATGAGATTTAAAACACACGAACCGAATCTCCAGTGAAAAAACGACATTTTAACAGAAACACGTCTGATCCTTCTGACAGAGCCTCTTATTAAATAATAATTAACAGTGCTATAAATGATGTAGTAGAATTTTAATAAAATAGACATTTTTATTTGTAAATGTATTTTTAAATCTGATCAATAACGACTGTTCAGCTGTCAACGTTTTACATTGAAGTTCATTTGTTGCACTTAAGAAGCTGAAATCCGCAGGATTTTTTAATAAAATCCTATTAATATAAACTGATTTAGAAACTTCAGATTTTGTCAGTTCTGCTGATAAAACAATAAATGTTATATTATTGTAATAATTCAGTCTGAAATAGTTTCTATTGTTTCTGTTCAGCACCTGTTTGTTGTTATTTATCTGTTGTCTCGAGGCGTCCAGACCCGTGTCACTGTCACGCGATCCTGGTTTCACTCCGGTTTCTTCCTCTTCTGTTCAGACTGCGGCACCGCTCCAGTTCCTGTTCTGCAGACCTGAACTTGATTTTTAGGAAGCAGTTAGAGCTGGTTGGTGTGAGGGGACGTGTCTGTGCAGGACACACAGCTGATGTGTGGATTTAATATTCAGCTTCATGTTTGAAATGAAAACATGAACCCAGTGAAACATCACAAGGTCTGACCTCCTCCTCCTCCTCCTCCTCAGCAGCAGACATGGGGGAGCGCACGTCGGACTCGGCGCCGTTCCTCTCCTCCGACAGCGAGGCCGAGGGTCCGGAGGATCAGGACGGGGCGGCGGCTCGGCGGCAGCAGGACGACGGTTCTGCCAGCGGGGTGTCCCCGGTCCGAGCGGTGCTGACCGTCTTCATCCTCTGCTACATCAACCTGCTCAACTACATGGACCGCTTCACCGTGGCAGGTACCGGACCCAGCAGGTTCTGCTCCGGCTCTGGTTCAGTTTACCTGGAAGAGTTGTTTCAGGTGATAAAGTCCGGTTCTGTTTCTGCTGCAGGTGTCCTGCCTGACATCGAGCAGTACTTTGGGATCGATGATGCAAGGTCCGGTTTGTTACAAACAGGTGAGCCTGCAGGTTCAGTGGGTCGGTTCTGGTTCAGCTGGGAACAGGTTCTGACCCAGAGATTTGATCTCAGCTTGTTTTAGACAACAAACAATAAAACCATCAGAATAAAACTCGGTCCTTTACAGAGAAAATGACATTTATCCAGGTTATAAACCCACGGCAGTGATGTTCTGTGTCAGTGTTTATCTGCAGCTACATGGTCCTGGCTCCAGTCTTTGGTTACCTGGGCGACAGGTACGTCAGGAAGTACATCATGTGTTTCGGCATCTTGTTCTGGTCCTCCGTGACGCTCGCCAGCTCCTACACTCCTAAAGACGTGAGTGGATCTGCAGCTGGATCTGCAGCTGGATCTGCAGCTGGACGTTGTTTGTGTCACATTCTAAATAATTAATAATAATAATAATAATAATAATAATAATAATAATTGTCTCTGATGTTTTTAAACCTTCTTAAATAACTGAAGTCATAAATGTTTAATTTTGTTGCATCTTTTCTCATAAAAACTGTGAAAAATAGAGAAAATATCAAAAAGAACCGAAGTCAGTGAAGAGAGTGAATCTTGTGGATGTGAGACTTCCTGCAGGCTGTCRGTTCTGCTGATTGTGGGTCTGGTTCTGCTCGCAGCACTTCTGGGCCCTGCTGTTGACCCGAGGTCTGGTCGGGGTCGGGGAGGCCAGCTACTCCACCATCGCTCCGACCATCATCGCTGACCTCTACGTTAAAGAGAGGAGGACCAACATGCTGTCTGTCTTTTATTTTGCCATTCCTGTTGGCAGGTGTGTTACACACACACACACACACACACACACACACACACACACCTGACTTCCTGTCAAACAGGAAGTGTAAACTCTGACCTCTCTTCCTGCCAGCGGCCTCGGGTACATCGTCGGCTCTCAGGTCAGCTCTGTGGCACATGACTGGCACTCAGCCTTACGGGTGAGTTGGGTTCTCTGATTCTGGTTCTGGGTTCTCTGATTCTGGTTCTGGGTTCTCTGGTTCTGGACCTGAACCTGACGTGTGGTGGTGGTCGTCAGGTGACTCCTGGACTGGGTCTGGTTGCGGTCCTGCTGCTGCTGGTTGTGGTCCAGGAGCCAAAGCGAGGAGCGGTGGAGGCCCGGTCAGAGCTGCACCAGACCAGCTGGCTGACGGACCTGCGGGAGCTCAGCAGGAAGTAGGTTCCTCACCTGAGGCAGGTTAGCATGTTAGCAGGTTAGCAGGTTAGTGTGTTAGCATGTTAACATGTCAGCAGGTTAACATGTTCACGTGTTAGCAGATTAGCAGGTTAACATGTTAACAGGTTAGTGTATTAGCATTTAGCATGTTAGTGGGTTAGCAGGGTAGTGTGTTAGCATGTTAACATGTTATGTTAGCAGGTTAGTGTGTTAGCATGTTAACATGTTAACAGGTTAGCATGTTCACATGTTAGCATGTTAGTGTATTAGCATGTTAGCATGTTAGTGTATTAGCATGTTAGCATGTTAGTGTATCAGCAGGTTAGCATGTTAGTGTGTTAGCAGGTTAGTGTTAGTAGGTTAGCAGGTTAACATGTTAACAGTTCAGCATGTTCACATGTTAGCATGTTAGTGTATTAGCATGTTAGCATGTTAACATGTTAGCAGGTTAACGTGTTAGTAGGTTAACATGTTAACAGTTCAGCATGTTAACATGTTAGCGTGTTAGTGTATTAGCATGTTAGCAGGTTAGTGTGTTAGTGTATTAGCATCTTAGCAGGTTAGTGTGTTAGTGTATTAGCATGTTAGCGGGTTAGTGTGTTAGCATGTTAACATGTTAGCAGGTTAGCGTATTAGCAGGTTAGCATGCTAGCAGCAGCTGCTGTGTGTCCCCCTGCAGCTGCAGCTTCGTGCTGTCCACCCTGGGCTTCACGGCCGTGGCGTTTGTGACGGGCTCGTTGGCTCTCTGGGCGCCGACCTTCCTCTTCAGAGCCGCCGTCTTCACGGGGAAGAAGGCTCCGTGCGTGGACGAGGCTCACTGCTCCACCTCCGACAGGTGAGCCCGCCTCCTGGAGCCGTCCTCGGCCCCGTCCTCAGGTCGGACTAACCCGTGTGTCCCCGCAGCCTGATCTTTGGGATCATCACGGTGGTGACGGGCCTGCTGGGCGTGGCCAGCGGCGTGCAGGTGAGTCGGCTGCTCAGGAAGAGGAACCCTCGAGCCGACCCGTTGGTCTGCGCCACCGGCCTGCTGCTGTCGGCGCCGTTCCTCTACCTCGCCATCGTCTTCGCTGAGACCAGCACCATCGCCACATACGTGAGTTTTATTCTGAAAGTTTGATTTTCAGACCGTGAAAGCTGATCATTTTACAGAACGTCTGAGACCTGTCCCGTCCTGTCCAGTCTTGTCCACTCCAGTCCAGTCCGGTCCTCTCCAGTCCTGTCCAGTCCTGTCCTCTCCAGTCCA